TCTCAAGGAGGGTGAAAAAAGAAGAACGTCCCCATTCCTGTTAAGGACTACAATGCCAGCATGGGGGGTGTCGACCTATCTGATAGGCTACTACCAGGTCCTCCAAAAGACCAGGAAGTAGTATAATACCTTTTTTAACACTTTGTGGACATTGCTACAGTAAATGCTTTCATTCTCCACAAGCAGATGGCCAAAGCAAAAGGTCAAACCCCTCTCTCCCAGTTGGCCTTCCGAGAGTGGCTAGTGTTGGAAATGGCTGAATTGGAGGCCCAAAGCAACCATCACAACCCCCCCCCCATCTAACACACATGCCAAAAGACAAAAAGGAAGAACTGCAAGCATTTCACAAAACACATGGGGGGGAAAAGGGTGAAATGCCAGATCTTCTGTCCAAAATGCCAGTTTGCTTTTTGTTTCCTGGCAGAGAGAGCGACTGCTTCAAAGACTATCATGACAAGCTACTGTGAAAGTGAAATCTAATCATCTACACCTGGGATGTAAAACGAACACGAATGCCATTTGTAAATAGTTCAGCTTATTTCTATTTTTGCACCTTTTTTAGTGAAGGACACGTGTGTAACCAACTGTGTGTTTTATAAGAAATGTTTATATATTTTTAATGTATATCTGTTGCTTTTATATCATTTTTGGAAACAGTTAATTTGTATGTGGGACCAATATATTGGATATGCCTAGGCTAAATGTTCAGGCACTTTGGAGAGGTTGAAAAAAAACGCTTGGGTATCCCCTGTATGTCCCCCGACACCACCACAATGTTTGAGAGAGGTTGGTGTTGTAGAAATTTAGTTTTTATAGTGAACAATAACTTTTAGGCACATCCAGTGTGCAAAAACAGTGCAATTACCACATTCGGACACTTTGGAGAGGTTGAAAGGACACTTGAATGTACCCTGGATACCCTGTAACACCACCACAATGTTTTAGTGAGGTTGATATGGTAAAAATTGTGTTTTTATACTGAACAAATAGCATTTAGGGATTGCAAATATGTTATAGCACTGGAATTATCTAATTTACAGACATATGCCACTTTGGAGAGGTTTAGTGACACTTTTTTTTCGGACATTGTTCACATGTTGTGGAAGCCATCTGATGCGTTTCCAGCTCTGGGCATCAATAATTCACTTATAGTTTGTCAATGAAAGATGACTTTCAAAATAAACAGTTATTTTGTGTGTACTCGATCTTGTGTATTCTGAACTATGTAACTCCTATCTATCTTCTGATCATTTCCTCATAATTTCCTCAGAACAGGGCTCCGGGCAGCCGAGCGGAAATTGAGGAAAATTAGACTCCCTGCTGACCTGTCATCTTTTCACTCCCTCCTCTCTACATTTTCTTCCTCTGTTTCTGCTGCTAAAGCCACTTTCTACCACTCTAAATTTCAAGCGTCTGCTTCTAACCCTAGGAAGCTCTTTGCCACCTTCTCCTCCCTGCTGAATCCTCCTCCCCCTCCCTCTCTGTGGATGACTTCGTCAACCATTTTGAAAAGAAGGTTGACGACATCCGATCCTCATTTATTAAGTCAAATGACACCGCTGGTCCTGCTCACACTGCCCTACCCTATGCTTTGACTTCTTTCTCCCCTCTCTCTCCAGATGAAATCTTGCGACTTGTGACGGCCGGCCGCCCAACAACCTGCCCGCTTGACCCTATCCCCTCCTCTCTTCTCCAGACCATTTCCGGAGACCTTCTCCCTTACCTCACCTCGCTCATCAACTCATCCTTGACCACTGGCTATGTCCCTTCCGTCTTCAAGAGAGTTAGAGTTGCACCCCTTCTCAAAATACCTACACTCGATCCCTCCGATGTCAACAACTACAGACCAGTATCCCTTCTTTCTTTTCTCTCCAAAACTCTTGAGCGTGCCGTCTTTAGCCAACACTCTTGCTATCTCTCAGAATGACCTTCTTGATCCAAACCAGTCAGGTTTCAAGACTGGTCATTCAACTGAGACTGCTCTTCTCTGTGTCACAGAGGCTCTCCGCACTGCTAAAGCTAACTCTCTCTCCTCTGCTCTTGTCCTTCTAGACCTGTCTGCTGCCTTTGATACTGTGAACCATCAGATCCTCCTCTTCACCTTCTCAGAGTTGGGCATCTCCGGCACGGCTCACTCTTGGATTGCGTCCTACCTGACCGGTCGCTCCTACCAAGTGGCGTGGCAAGAATCTGTCTCCGCACCACGTGCTCTCACCACTGGTGTCCCCCAGGGCTCAGTTCTAGGCCCTCTCCTATACACCAAGTCACTTGGCTCTGTCATATCCTCACATGGCCTCTCCCATCATTGCTACGCAGACGACACACAACTAATCTTCTCCTTTCCCCCTTCTGATAACCAGGTGGCGAATCGCATCTCTGCATGTCTGGCAGACATATCAGTGTGGATGACGGATCACCACCTCAAGCTGAACCTCGGCAAGACGGAGCTGCTCTTCCTCCCGGGGAAGGACTGCCCGTTCCATGATCTCGCCATCACGGTTGACAACTCTGTTGCGTCCTCCTCCCAGAGTGCAAAGAGCCTTGGCGTGACCCTGGACAACACCCTTTCGTTCTCCGCTAACATCAAGGTGGTGACCCGATCCTGTAGGTTCATGCTCTACAACATTCGGAGTGTACGACCCTGCCTTACACAGGAAGCGGCACAGGTCCTAATCCAGGCACGTCTGGATTACTGCAACTCGCTGTTGGCTGGGCACCCTGCCCGTGCCATTAAACCCCTACAACTCATCCAGAATGCCGCAGCCCATCTGGTGTTCAACCTTCCCAAGTTCTCTCACATCACCCCGCTCCTCCGCACACTCCACTGGCTTCCAGTTGAAGCTCGCATCTGCTACAAGACCATGGTGCTTGCCTACGGAGCTGTGAGGGGAACGGCACCTCTGTACCTTCAGGCTCTGATCAGTCCCTACACCCAAACGAGGGCATTGCGTTCATCCACCTCTGGCCTGCTGGCCCCCATACCTCTGCGGAAGCACAGTTCCCGCTCAGCCCAGTCAAAACTGTTCGCTGCTCTGGCACCCCAATGGTGGAACAAGCTCCCTCACAACGCCAGGACAGCGGAGTCACTCACCACCTTCCGGAGACACTTGAAACCCCACCTCTTTAAGGAATACCTGGGATAGGATAAAGTAATCCTTCTACCCCCCCTTACCCCACCCCAAAGAAAGAAATAAAAAAATATATATTGTAAAGTGGTTATCCCACTGGCTATAAGGTGAATGCACCAATTTGTAAGTCGCTCTGGATAAGAGCGTCTGCTAAATGACGCAAATGTAAATGTAATAATGTCCCAGATGTCTTCTTTCCAAATATACCAAGTTTTGGCATGTCAGAATCATGTAATTACACATGAATAGCAGTTACTTTTGGGTATGTCTATTTAGGCGGAAATCTATATTTTGCCATTTCATTTAAGAGGTTAAAGAGGACTGAAATGTGTTATTTTAAAAAGAGGACAATGTGAAAACACCCTGAGAAGATAAAAACAGCTAATCTACAAATAGGCTAACTTGTAACAATGAATCTTTTTGTCTATATCCTTTTCATGAATTGTGATTTTTGAACATTCTAGTATAGCAGATATTTGGTTTTGTGTGTGTTTTACAAATGTTGGAGTGTGATGAGGCAGGGCTGGTGTCCGGGGCAGCTGACCTGCAGGGCTAAAGGGCACTTCAGTGTCGGACCTGCTGCTGCAGCCTCTCTCCTGCTCAGCTGCCACCGCCACATCGCTCTCCAACAAAAGGACTAACTAAAAGGATCAGTCAATTAGTTTCACAGCCAAGCCTGAAGTAGCCTAGTAGTTGTAGTAAGGGAGATACAATTTCCCTATCAAGCTTGCCCTATTAGCATTTTAATTCCAAGAAAGATGCTTTAGGCTTGTCAACATCTCGTTATGTCATAGATCTCATGATCATGGCAGATTTTAATTTGAACCATTCATGTGTTTCTGAGTCTGAACAATGTGTTACCAACGGAGCTCTGGGTGGATTACGGTTGCAGCTGATCATCTAGCTCCATCAGAGCTGACAGACCGAGAGAGAGAGAGATCAGAAGGGGCCTGTACTGCCCTGCCAATGGACACACCTTCCTGGGCACAAAGGACAATATTGCCACGGATCCCAGGAGATTGCCCCTTGACCCCTCACCAGAAGAACCTCACTGTAATATGACTGAAACAGTAATCACGTAAGACATGGGAGACAAATACACCACTGTGTATTCTCATCTTGGCTGTCAATCAGGCACTGCTGCAATTTGTTCTGGATCAAAAAGGGGCTGAGGTGGTGGGCGTTGCAGGGAGCATGGCAATGGGCGCTATCGGCTTGTTTGGTGCAACATTTTAGAGGCCTCCCATCTTTGCGGTGTAGAGAAATCTTTGCATTTTTAAGCAATTTTCCAGCTATTCTACATATGCTGCCATGGAGCAGAGAGAACATTTTGCAGTTCTAAAGCAATTCCATGCATTTTTCCATGCCTAATGTTGTTATTCTGCTCGAACATAATAACAAAGTCAATACTGCTAAATTCATTGTTTTTGGAATTTACCCTGACTGTCTAGCTTTTATTTTGGTGATTGTTAGTCCTCAAAGATTATATTTAATATATAATAATACATTCATTTGATTTATATAGCGCTTTTCTAGACACCCAAAGCGCTTTACATAGTAAGGGGGAAGCTCACCTCATTCACCACCAATATGTAGCACCCACTTAGGTGATGCATGGCAAGCAGTTTGTGCCAGAACGCTAACTCTCACTCTCACGAGTCGCGGCACAGGGCAAGGGCCAGTGAGACGTGAAACGACCTACCCCAGATCGGAGTCGGGATCAGCCGACCAAAGGCAAGTGGCTATACAAGAAGGCAACTAGAGACGCCGCTGACAGACTAGAGAGTTTGTGAGATGCCGGACATGAGGCCATTTTTTAAACATCTGCGACCCCCAAAAAAATTGTTTCGCTTAGATATGTCAGTCAGGTGGCTAGCTGCTGCCTGCCGGCAGAGACTTGCTGTAACGTTAAAGGGGTTTAGTTAGTGTTAGTCAGAAAAAAGGATTTCAATGGCAGAAAAATCCCTGTGCTGGCACTGTAAGTGGTGCGGAGTTCAGAGAAACGGGCATCCCTGATTATAACCTACAGTTAAATATTAAACCATACAAATGGGAGAGCAGAGTGAACATTCAAACGGCTCATAAGCCCAGCTATCGTCACTGTGGCCAAACCTGCATAAGGACATGAGTGATGCTAAAATAGTAAACAGGGTGCGAGGGGTGGGTCCATCAGCCTTTATGGCCAGAGGTGTGGAACAGGCAAGAGAGCAACAGCTGGCCTGTGTCCAGCCCTTCTCCTGTTTCAGATGAGGTTTCAGGCCCCAGATGGAGCCAGCAGCTGCCCCCGCGTGATAGCAGCACTTCAAACATTTCTGTGACAGCTGCCGAGACACAGAACACTGGTAGCAGTGACTCAGGCAGCTCCACTCTGACACGAGATGGACTACGACTACAACTACTACTACTACTCTCTCCCCCCACATCACAGCACTGGGTTTTATAGCTCATAATAAATACTTTCTAGAGCAACAGCTTGAAAAATGTATGCACTCACTAACTGAAAGTCGCTCTGGATAAGAGCGTCTGCTAAATGACTAAAATGTTTTGTTTTTTTTATGTACAAAATGGGCATTGATTAATTAAGCCAGTAGCCTGTTCACTAAAAGCTGCCTTTTTACATGCTTTTGACATCACAGGGTTACTCGGTTAGCATGCTGATCGAGCATTTGTACTTTAACACACTTCAACCACCTCCACAAGCTGCAAAGGGAGTGATACAGTCAAATGTGGAATAAGTTACTGCAACTCTGGTTTCCATGTTATGGTTGACCACAATTCTGTCTCTTCCGTTTTCACATAGCTACATATCATATCCACTAAGTAGTAATGAGCACTACAAGGTCATTCCAATATCAGTCATTCGGCAGTGGGGACTTATAAAGAGTCTCCATGGAAGTGTATTTCACTTACAGATGTAGGATCTTAAATTTGAGCCAGTTTGCTCCTGCAGGGACATAATCCTGCAACAGGAAATGTGAATTATGTGGATAATAAATTGACATTTTTGTAGGGGTTGATACATTTTTCATTAGGGAAAATCAAGTCAAATTTCAAAGTGGAAATTACAAAACTTCAGAAGCCTTTTTAAACCTCAAATTTCCTGCATTGAAGAAAAGTTATCCTGCAACAGGGTGATCAAATTAAGATCCAACATCTGTATCACTCGCCTTCAACAGCCGTGAGTTATTGCTAAGGATGTGCATCTTTCCCTTTGAAGACGATTCGATACATGGGCTCCGATACAGGAATGATACGCTTTAGTTTGAAACGATTCGGTGCGATTCGGTTAGATTAGAGGAACGATTCGGTGCGATTCGGTTCGATGCACTAACATTTGTTGCATAAACATTAATTTGGTATTTCTGGTCCCATATTCATAGCACGCAATGACTACATCAAGCTTGTGACTCTACACATTTGTTGGATACATTATTTACCATTCATTTCTATTCGGCACAAAATTATCTGAAACACAACCAAAACAAACAGCAAATGCATTCAACAAATGTGTAGTCACAAGCTTGATGTAATCATTGCATGCTAGGAATATAGGACACTTTTTTTACTACTTGGGACAAGTGAATTTGTCCCAATACTTTTGGTTCCCTAAAATGGGGGGACTATGTACAAAAAGTGCTGTAATTTCTAAACTGTTCACCTGAAATGGATGAAAATAACCTCAAACTAAAGCAGACAGTCTGCACTTTAACCTCATAGTAATGGTATCATTTCAAATCCAAAGAGCTGGAGTAGGAGCCAAAACAAAAGATGTCACTGCCCCAATACATGTGGAGCTCACTGTATGTAGGCACCTGAGCTGAGCCATAAGGGAACATTTTCTGAAATCACCATCACTAATGAGTTTGTCATTTTAACAGATTAAAAAAAGTGGTAGTAATGTATCAATATTCATATTTTTTAATTAGCTATGACATACTGCATTGATTACTGCAATGTTTGGAAAGAGCTCGCAAAAAATGAATTTCACTGTACTAGTGCACGTGACAATAAAACGTGGAACTTGAATATATAGCACATCTTTGGATTTCACCCAATCTCATAATTGAATGGTTTAGACTGTTTGGAAGTTGACTGACTTGGGAGTGAGCTTCTCTTCTTCTCCCGCTGTCCTCGTTATGAAATTATCAACTTTACCCTGTAAAGTTAAGCAAAAGTACCAAAACTATTGCTGACGGTGAACCTGAACAATCAAAATAAAATAAAGAAATAAAATTGAATGTAAACCATGATCAGCATGTATACATTTACATTTGTCATTTAGCAGACGCTCTTATCCAGAGCGACTTACAGTTAGTGAGTGCATACATTTTCATACTGGCACCCCCTGGGAATCGAACCCACAACCCTGGCGTTGCAAGCGCCATGCTCTACCAACTGAGCTACACGGGATCACTATAGCCAGATGAGAGTTGTCTCCCGCGGTAGCTTAGGCTACTTTTATCCCATTAAAACAATTTTCAACAGCGCATTCGATCAAAATAACCTAGCAAATTACATTGGTGGTCACTCAACTAATAAAGCCTATTATTTCGCATTTGAATGCTGAAGGTGACGGGCAGATGTGGAAGATCAGCAATAGGCCTACCTCTCGTTGGTCAGTGTGCAGTTTTGACTAGGCTAAATGACTTGTAGATCAATGACTGTCAACACAATTACATGCTTAGTTCGACACTGAAGGAGAGGACGCAGTTGTCACAAAATATTAGGTATTTTCGGAAGGTAGAGAGAAAGTAATTTGAGTAAAAAAATTTAGTGAACCGTCGATTCGTAAAGTTTAAATTGATTACCTGACCAATGCAGGCTACATTTGGATCGGTTTGGGGTCCCACAGACCGATGTCTTAAACATTCGAACCGGGGACCGATGCGTATCAGTGAATGATTACATCCCTAGTTATTGCCAGTCAAAGCAGAAGCTGTCCATCAGTCAACAGCAGGTCCAGCCAACTAGTAGTAGAACACAATGCCGTGTAGTAGAACACAATGCCGTGTAGTAGAACACAATGCCGTGTAGTAGAACACAATGCCGTGTAGTAGAACACAATGCCGTGTAGTAGAACACAATGCTGTATAAGCCTAATAGGTGGCATGTTTAACAACCCCCATCCACCGTATATCCAGCTGTCAAGAAATGACTGTACATGACGAGGAGAAATGAGAGACAAGACTGACTACCCCCCGCCTCCTCTTCCTTATAGAAGGATGGAGGCCGATTTCAATTTACTGTCCTCGCCCTAAGCATGAGTGTGTGTGCGTGACGGGGAGCAGGGATCCCTTATCTCTACATCCATGGCAGATTTATTGAGGGGGCACCAGGGCATTGATGACCTTGATTGTCAGGTCCCTAGTCCACTCAAACAGCAAGGAAGGTACCAACCAGGAGAGAGGGAAACATTAACTGGGGGGAGATAGTGGAGAGTGGAAAAGAGAACCTCCCTGGGGCAGTAAAAGATAAATGAGTAGTAGCCTAATACAAATGGGATCAGAAAAAGGCCAATGGATGTCAAACAACATAATAGATAATCCATAAAAATCACAAGTCACGACAGGAGAGCAGAGGTAAAATGTTATGGATGTATTTCAAATAAATTGCTTAAATGTGAATGATGAGCTGCCATTACCGTAAAGCTGTTAGGATGTTTCTCTTTAAGGCTCGGGATCCCCCCCCCAAGAGTGTAAGCCTGCAGTGTACTTACAGGAGCGGCCTCCTGCTTCCATCACTGAGGGGTTTGTCAGTGTGAGAGAGTGCACAGCTGAACCAAAGACTAGACCACTGTGTGTGGACAAGGCTGGCTAACAAAGACGACCTTTCAGCGCTCAGCAGTTCCTCGCTCTGCTTTTTTTCCTTCTGTCCATGAACGTGCAGTGCAGTTCCAGATACTCTGACAGAGGGCTGTGACTAATACGTCTCTTTCTGTTCTCACACGTCTGGGAAGGGTGACACTGGCATTCACCTTTGTCCCAGGTGCTGGCATCGCCCAATAGCACGCACGCTGCTCGTGCAATGCCGTACGAGGCAGAGAAAATACACAAGACACTTGTCAGTCCATAATGAACAGAGGCTAATTAATCCTGGCAACACAGAAACCATATTAGACTGGGCTGTAACATTCACTGGGTATCCAGGGCCTGCATGGGTGAGTGACCAGGGAGCTAAAGCAGAGCTAAAGCAGCACCTGCCACTCATACCCAAACTGAGGTCAGGGCCTCAGAGGAGAGGACACAAGTCAAACCAGCAGCACATAAAAGCCTACATTTCGATGGAGAAAACAACATCTTGCTGGCAGTGTTAACCCTATCAGTCAAAAGACCCAAGCAAAAATTAGCTTTACATTTATCTGATTTTCATTTATCTGCATGTCCAGCCTTTCTATTTAGCCTCACAATTAAGTGTTTTCCCATTTTATTTTCAGGACCAGGGCTACTAGTAGAAACAATTTGAAATAAACAGTTGCATTCATGAATTTTATTGACAAATGTCAATTTAAAAAAATAAGGTCCGCCAAAGCAAAAACCTGAAAAAAACGGAATATCCAACTAGTCAGTGACAACTGTGTGGAGTTTGGAGTTTGTGACAGCAACTATGTGAGCTTATTACAGTACTATAGACACTATGTCCTGGGATTCCCTATGGTATTCTATGTAGAACAACCCCTTACCTTCTAAGGACTCTTGTGTAGCTTGTGAGTGTCATAAAGCAAAACATGTTACACGCGTTCTTGAGAGTCTCAGCTTTTCAAAGATACACTACATGGTCAAAAGTATGTGGACACTTGCTCGTCGAACACATCCTTCCAAAATCATGGGTATTAATATGGAGTTGGTCCCCCCTTTGCTGCTATAACAGCCTTCACTCTTCTGGTAAAGCTTTCCACTAGATGTTGGAACATTGCTGCGGGGACTTGCTTCCACTCAGCCACAAGAGCATTAGTGAGGTCAGGCACTGATGTTGGGCGATTAGGCCTGGCTCGCAGTCGGCGTTCCAATTAATCCCAAAGGTGTTCGATGGGGTTGAGGTCAGGGCTCTGTGCAGGCCAGTCAAGCTCTTCCACACCGATCTCGACAAACCATTTCTGTATGGACCTCGCTTTGTGCACAGGGGCATTGTCATACTGAAACAGGAGAGGGCCTTCACCAAACTGTTGCCACAAAGTTGGAAGCACAGAATCGTCTAGAATGTCATTGTATGCTGTAGCATTAAGATTTCCCTTCACTCTAACCATAAAAAACAGCCCCAGACCATTATTCCTCGTCCACCAAACTTTACAGTTGGCAATATACATTGGGTTAGGTAGCATTCACCTGGCATCCGCCAAACCCAGATTCGTCCATCGGACTGCCAGATGGTGAAGCGTGATTCATCACTAGTTTCCACTGCTCCAGAGTCCAATGGCGGCGAGCTTTACAGCACTCCAGCCGATGTTTGGCATTGCGCATGGTGATCTTAGGCTTGTGTGCGGCTGCTCGGCCATGGAGACCCATTTCATGAAGCTCCTGACAAACAGTTCTTATGCAGACGTTGCTTCCAGAGGCAGTTTGGAACTCCGTACTGAGTTTTACGCGCTACACCACCCAGCAGTCCCGTTCTGTGAGCTTGTGTGGCCTACCACTACGCGGCCTTGTTGCTTCTAGACATTTCCACTTCACAATAACAGCACTTACAGTTGACCGGGGCAGCTCTAGCAGGGCAGAAATTTGACAAACTGACTTTTTGGGAAGGTGGCATCCTATGATGGTGCCACGTTGAAAGTCACTGAGCTCTTCAGTACTGGCCATTCTACTGCCAATGTTTGTCTATTTAAAAAATATATATATTTAACCTTTATTTAACCAGGTAAGCCAGTTGAGAACAAGTTCTCATTTACAACTGCGACCTGGCCAAGATAAAGCAAAGCAGTGCGATAAAAACAACACAGAGTTACATATGGGGTAAAAAACATAAAGTCAAAAATACCACAGAAAATATATATACAGTGTGTGCAAATGTAGCAAGTTATGGAGGTAAGGCAATAAATAGGCTATAGTGCAAAATAATTACAATAGTATTAACACTGGAATGCTAGATGTGCAAGAGATGATGTGCAAATAGAGATACTGGGGTGCAAAAGAGCAAAATAAATAACAATATAGGGATGAGGTAGTTGGGTGGGCTAATTTCAGATGGGCTGTGTACAGGTGCAGTGATCGGTAAGGTGCTCTGACAACTGATGCTTAAAGTTAGTGAGGGAGATAAGAGTCTCCAGCTTCAGAGATTTTTGCAATTCGTTCCAGTCATTGGCAGCAGAGAACTGGAAGGAATAGCGGCCAAAGGAGGTGTTGGCTTTGGGAATGACCAGTGAGATATACCTGCTGGAGCGCAGACTACGGGTGGGTGCTGCTATGGTGACCAATGAGCTAAGATAAGGCGGGGATTTGCCTAGCAGTGATTTATAGATGGCCTGGAGCCAGTGGGTTTGACGACGAACATGTAGTGAGGACCAGCCAACAAGAGCGTACAGGTCACAGTGGTGGGTAGCGTATGGGGCTTTGGAGACAAAACAGATGGCACTGTGATAGACTACATCCAATTTGCTGAGTAGAGTGTTGGAGGCTATTTTGTAAATGACATCGCCGAAGTCAAGGATCGGTAGGATAGTCAGTTTTACGAGGGCATGTTTGGCAGCATGAGTGAAGGAGGCTTTGTTGCGAAATAGGAAGCCGATTCTAGATTTAACTTTGGATTGGAGATTCTTTATGTGAGTCTGGAAGGAGAGTTTACAGTCTAACCAGACACCTAGGTATTTGTAGTTGTCCACATACTCTAGGTCAGACCCGTCAAGAGTGGTGATTCTAGTCGGGTGGGCGGGTGCCAGCAGCGTTCGATTGAAAAGCATGCATTTAGTTTTACTAGTGTTTAAGAGCAGTTGGAGGCTACTGAAGGAGTGTTGTATGGCATTGAAGCTCGTTTGGAGGTTTGTTAACACAGTGTCCAATGAAGGGCCAGATGTATACAAAATGGTGTCGTCTGCGTAGAGGTGGATCTGAGAGTCACCAGCAGCAAGAGCGACATCATTGATATACACGGAGAAAAGTGTCGGCCCAAGAATTGAACCCTGTGGCACCCCCATAGAGACTGCCATAGGTCCAGACAACAGGCCCTCCGATTTGACACACTGAACTCTATCTGAGAAGTAGTTGGTGAACCAGGCGAGGCAGTCATTTGAGAAACCAAGGCTATTTATCTATGGAGTCTATGGAGATTGCATGGCGGTGTGCTCGATTTTATACACCTGTCAGCAACAGGTGTGGCTGAAATAGCAGAATCCACTCATTTTAAGGGGTGACCACATACTTTTGGCCATGTAGTGTAGCTTTTAATAGTTTGCACCTCAAACCATTCTGACTATACAGGCATTTGTGTAAAAAAGACCCGGCCCCCTGGCGCCTTCGGGATCCGCCCTTGTCTCACAAACACAGTTCTAGCTCAGCCCCCGTTAATCGACGCAGAAGAAATAGATGAATCCAATGGTACAACCCAAAAGTCTGCGGCTCACGTAATGCTTAAAAAGGGGTTAGAAGTCCTAAATCACACCGGTGCAACGCTGTGACGGGCATGGAATTTTGGATGACTGCAATTGGCCAGCCAAATGACCATAGTCTCCTTAACCAAACGCTCGAATAGTTTAAAAAATATTTTAACACACATTTTCTCCTTTACTCCGCTCCTGAATGCATGTGCTGCCATAGAAATAGAATGAAAAGAACGGGTGTCCCCATTCAAGTCCATGATGGCATAATGGGTGGACTGGCGGCCATTGCGAGTTTACCCATAGGAGCAAAGCTAGGTTGAAGATGACAAAGGTTAAGACAAGGGATTCTAATATCCCATAACTCTTCGCAACAATGGGACCAGCTATGCTAGTTAGCAACTGTGCTGGTCCCAGATTTGTGACAACGTTGTCTTAACCTGTAAAGTGAGGGGGAAAAGTATTTGATCCCCTGCTGATTTTGTACGTTTGCCCACTGACAAAGAAATGATCAGTCTATAATTTTAATGGTAGGTTTATTTGAACAGTGAGAGACAGAATAACAACATAAAAAACTGAGCTGAGATTAGGAGCACACTCTTAAAGGGAGTGCTCCTAATCTCAGTTTGTTACCTGTATAAAAAGACACCTGTCCACAGAAGCAATCAATCAGATTCCAAACTCTCCACCATGGCCAAGACCAAAGAGCTCTCCAAGGATGTCAGGGACAAGATTGTAGACCTACACAAGGCTGGAATGGGCTACAAGACCATCGCCAAGCAGCTTGGTGAGAAGGTGACAACAGTTGGTGCGATTATTTGCAAATGCAATATCTCACCTCGTGGAGTTGCAATGATCATGAGAACGGTGAGGAATCAGCCCAGAACTACACGGGAGGATCTTGTCAATGATCTCAAGGCAGCTGGGACCATAGTCACCAAGAAAACAATTGGTAACACCCTACGCTGTGAAGGACTGAAATCCTGCAGCGCCCGCAAGGTCCCCCTGCTCTGAAGTTTGCCAATGAACATCTGAATGGGTGAAAGTGTTGTGGTCAGAGGAGACCAAAATCGAGCTCTTTGGCATCAACTCAACTCGCCGTGTTTGGAGGAGGAGGAATGCTGCCTATGACCCGAAGAACACCATCACCACCGTCAAACATGGAGGTGGAAACACTATGCTTTGTGGGTGTTTTTCTGCTAAGGGGACAGGACAACTTCACCACATAAAAGGGACGATGGACGGGGCCATGTTGCGTCAATTCTTGGGTGAGAACCTCCTTCCCTCAGCCAGGGCATTGAAAATGGGTCGTGGATGTGTATTACAGCATGACAACGACCCAAAACACACACCCAAGGCAACAAAGGAGTGGCTCAAGAAGAAGCACATTAAGGTCCTGGAGTGGCCTAGCCAGTCTCCAGACCTTAATCCCATAGAAAATCTGTGGAGGGAGCTGAAGGTTTGAGTTGCCAAACGTCAGCCTCGAAACCTTAATGACTTGGAGAAGATCTGCAAAGAGGAGTGGGACAAAATCCCTCCTGAGATGTGTGCAAACCTTGTGGCCAACTACAAGAAATATCTGACCTATGTGATTGCCAACAAGGGTTTTGCCACCAAGTACTAAGTCATGTTTTGCAGAGGGGTCAAATACTTATTTCCCTCATTAAAATGCAATTCAATTTATAACATTTTTGACATGCGTTTTTCTGGATTTTTTTGTTGTTATTCTGTCTCTCACTGTTCAAATAAACCTACCATTAAAATTATAGACTGATCATGTCTTTGTCAGTGGGCAAACATACAAAATCAGCAGGGGATCAAATACTTTTTTCCCTCACTGTATATTTTTTGGCCTAGGAGCAAAGTGGGAAGTAAAAGCAGGAAGCGTACCCTTCAATCTGTGCTTTGATTTGTTGATTCACCTCAACTGACATTACAAAAAATACATTCCATTGTATGACCCACATCAGATATCATATGAATGAACATTCTACATTACCATGGAAATTATTGCATCACAATACCAGGCAGCCATTGCGAGTGTACCCACGAGTTTACCAGTCAAATTGCCAGGGTTAGAGGCATTGTCTCACGTCAGATGGCGTCACTCCTATGCAAAAATCATCCCTCAACCAATCTGTCTTGTAGGACGTGGAACATCTCTAAAAATGTAGATTTTGCTCATCCGCCTAACACAAGTTCCTAATTCTGAAAATCACTCCACTCTCGAAAGCAATGACGCATTAGCTACTACGGCAAACCATGCTTGTTCAGCTGAGCAAACTTGCAACAGCTAGCAGCCTAGTGCAAGCTTGTTTGAATGGCCATATTGTAGCTAGTTACCAGCTTGTTGATTAAGTTGTACGGCACCAAAGTTATGGGACTGTTCTCAGATATCAGCATGTATCTGACTGACTGCTGGCACTGTGCCTCGCTACTTTGTAACATTTGGCCAACACGATGTCGCAGAGAGCGGTCCGCTGTGCTGTAATGTTAGAGCTCTGCGCAATAATAAAGTTAGAAAAGATATCACGAAAACTAGGGCTGGGAATTGCCAGGGACCTCACGTTACGATATTATCACAATACCTTGGTGCCGATACGATATGTATTGCGATTCGATAGTGTGATTTTATTGAGATTCTGTTCCAAACCTATTGCTTACCATATGTCTGCTGTAGAGGGACAAGAGAGAGCCATGAGAAAACAAGTTTTGATCAGTCATGGAAATAAAAGTGCTGAAAGCAAATTGGCTCCCTATTTAAAAAGAAGATGAGAACAAGCTATGAAGGAAAAACACTGGAGTTTTGGTACAGGTACAGCCAACTAGTGCAAAAATATTGCGACAGTCAAAACGATGCATCGTCAAATAATATCCCGATATGTAACTATCGATCCCAACCCCCCCCCCCCCCCCCCCCCCCCCCCCAGTCAGAGGGGTGCCTAGTCAGAGATCATGACCTCCCCGGGAAATCCACTGTAAAGATAATCATACATGGTCCAGTGTGGCGGTGTAGGTAGTGATGTCAAACCCACACTTGAATGCAGCGTTCAGACGCTATCTATGTCAGACACTATCTATGACAACCTCTCTCTCGCAGGGTGCAGAGTTACACCAAGGCCTTTTTCCAGGAGATTTCTAATTGGCAACTTTAAATGACCCCAATAAAACATACAGATACCAGTGTTTATGGTGACATTCAAGCTTACACTGATCCTCTGTACAGGACTGACACATGACTGGAGGAAGAAAACAGAAACTAAAGTATGTTGCAGAGGAAGCTCAGCTTCTGTCTGGGCCTCCCTTCACCAATCTGAAAATAAACAAGCCTTGCCATTTCATGTGGTTTCCCAGACCCACTCTCTGCGTGCTGCAGAACTCAAAACTTGACTTGCAACCTCTGAGTTTCTATTTCACCTTTGAGCTAAAAAGGCAAGAGCTCTGCTGTGTGTTTGTGCACACATCACCTTGAGATGGTACTGTAGTCGACTTGTTCTCATAGTGATATTGTGCAACAACTCTGTTAGTTCCCTGAAGGCGTTCTAGTGGCAGTTTCTCTGACGTGTACAGTACATCTTGGGAAGTTGATTCTTCTTCCTTCTCTTTAATATAATACCAACTGAGCATGGTTGACTCATTAACAGTGCATGGGGCCAAGCTACAGATAAGGGAGAGACTTATGTCAGGACTTAAATGTTTCCTGTCTCTTTAAAGGTCACCAAGTCATCAGGGGTGGGGTGTTCTGCTGCTATTAGGAAACTGGATTCAATTGCCTTGGCCAAACTACAGTAACACAAATCTAGTAACACTAAAACATCTGTCACAAAGCAGCAAACCATTGGCAAGCTGCACTAGTTGTTGTAGTGAAGTAGTGATGAGAAATGTTAGATGGGAGGGGGTGGCAAAATATCCACCTACAGTATAATTTCTTTTTTTTCTTTTTTTATAGTGGTGAGGATGATTAATGTAGGAGTGCATCCAAACAGAAACACATCACAGTCATGCTGTTTAGACAAGCATGTTGGCCTTACCAATTTGATGGCCACATATTCGTTGGTGTAGAGGTTCTTCCCCAGCCGCAGCTCTCCAAAATTGCCACAGCCAATTTTCTTTCCGACTCGGAAGTTTGGGCCAACCATAAGAACCCCAGAGTTGGTCCCTGTACCCCGGACAGTCCTGCTGCCAGCCGCCTTAGACATATTTTTCCCTTCCTCCGTCTCTCCCTTACCCACCTTCTTGTCAAAATCCATAAGCTTGTGATACCCTGGCCTCTCCACGATTACTCCCCGGCCATGCAAATCACAGAGGCACCAAAACAACAAGGACTCTTAGAGGGGAGGGAGGCGATACAAATACAGAGTAAAGGTGTTGTATAGAAATGTGCAGTGTATTAAAAGCCACTTCCACTGGGTTAAACTGCAGCCAAAACACCCAGTATTTCTATCTGGCAATGTTGTACTGCGTGCGCTCTCCTCTTCTTCCTTCTCCTCGTTTATGGAGGTCGACTCCTTTCTTCTCAGTTTCTCCAACTCAAGTATCAGAGTAGCATGTCCCTGCCTGAAGGGGGCAGGTTGTGCTAGCATGCACCCACGCACACACAAACACACACTCATACACAACAAGCACTCGGAATCCCAGCTACTGGATCCACAACGCAGCTTGGCAACTTCCCCCAAAGCCCCTCATTGCTTCCTTCTGGTCAGTCTTTGGTAATACAGCAGACATTCTTCATGTTCCAGTGCCACGGCAGAAGAGGCAATGGTGGAGCCAGTGTCAACAATGATGAGGTACTGCAGTAGAGTCCTGTTCGGTTTAGTTGGATATCTGAAAGACATGCAAACACACACTGAATTAGCCCTTAGGTGTAACCTAAGCTTTTCTAAACCTCATCATCATATCAGTTTTCACTGGTATCATGATTTGTCAGCCTTTGAATAGGATAGCATACATGGAGGTTTCTGTATAACCCTGAGGCCCAGCTTTCCTCCCTCTCCTCCCCTTGGGACCTGTGATGTTGTGGATACTGGTGGAGAGCAGGTAATATCAGCAATATCGGCAGGCAGCTATGCTTTCCTCAGGAAATGCACTTAAACTGATTAATGACTGCCAAAATGCCTCTCCTAATCCACATAGCCTGGGAAACTGATTCACATCATAGAGTAAAGGAGATGCATTGAAATAGAGAGGGGAAGCGACAGGGCTTACCTATAATATCCATGTTAATCATGAAAAAGCATTAGATGTAAAGAAAAATAAAGTAAAACAACATTAACCAACTTAACTTACCCAATAAGCTTCTTACAGTAGTAGTAGTAGAATAAACTAGGCTAACTTACACGAGTAGAATAGGCTAAATGTATGAATGTGTGTGTGTTCCTTCACCTGTGCAAAGAGTGAAAGAATATGCACATGTTCAATCATTGTCTACTTACAGCAACAACACCGGTCAATCAATTAAATGGAAGCCCCTTTACTTGATTCCACTACATGAATCCACAAATTATGAAATATAGAGTACTGAATAAATTCTACTTCCATCTCAGTCATGTAAACATCGAGAAAAAAAGAGGGGGATTTGATTGGAGTTGGGTAGCAAGTGTGGCTAGTTTTAATTGGGAAACCAAATTTCAATCTGACAGTAAAAATAAATATGTATCATTGGTGATGCATCCATCTATCCAATCTACTTTGTTTAACTGACAAACTGAAAAGCCACAGATAAACAGAACATTACACTACAATGACTAGTCACTAAATCCCACTCTGTTATGACCAAACAGTTACCAAATATTATATTGTCACATTATGTTTCACCTGACAAGTTGCCAACAACTGAGAGTAGCAACTGTCTTTGTTTACAATATAGTCATCCTTCAAGCAATATAGCTAAAGATACTAGCTAGCTATAAATAAATAAATATATAATGTAGCTGCAAATGACAACATAGTGATTGAACCATTGCATTGAACCCTTTTGGTAGCCATTTGACAAGGAAAAGAGAATGAATGCCTGGGCGAATGTTTACTTGACGAATTTTTACGAAATGTTGCTTGTTATCAAGCTAACGTTACTGGCCTAACCTCTTATTCTCAATTTCTCTCCAGAGAGTTGAGTCGTTAGCTAGATAACAGTGACATAGACAAACTAGACACTAACGTCTGTAATTAGGTAGCTAGCTAATAAGTGAGCATAAAGTGACAAGCTAAAGATAGTTTCTGTGACGAAGGCAACTCCACTGCGAAAGAAGGCCTCACATCAAGCTAGCGCGCTAATTTAGCTCATTCACGTCCTCTTCGTGCTAGCTAGCCTAGTGGTTCTATGGCACCTGCTGTCAGTTGTGTAGGAAAGGCATCTAGCTAGCTACCTATACGAAGAGAACAATACTTATGATCAATCTGTGGTTTCCATCTTTTTCTACTTGTCAACTCCGTAAATACTTCCCTTCAACCGTGGAAAATTCATCAAATCGTTTCAGACTTGCAAACTAGCTATATTTAGCAAGCTAGCGACTATAATCTAGCTGCCGCTAGAACTGCAGGTCATTTTGGAAGTGGCAACAGTCGCTGAGATATTGACTTGTCACCAGTTTGTCGTCTTTCTACGCTAGGTTACCACTTTGTAAACTATGCAAATTGTTAGTTAGTTACTGTATTTAGTATGCTCATCGGGTAATAATGGAAAATACCATCGTTTAACGTTACTGATTGCTCCCAAAACACACCGATCAGTCCCGTACAGCTAAGCAAGCTAATGCCAAGTAGAACAAGCTAAAACTGGGCAGCACATCTCATTAATTACATAACCTTAATTTCACATCAATCAAGACACACCCTTCTAATATAGTTAGCTAGCTAAATAGCTATCAAACGTTACGTTAGCAAGATAACATTATACGAGGCTTGTAGCCGTACGTAAAATAAAGTCGAAAGTGCATTTCACCAAAGAAACTGCGTTTGTTTTCAGTTCCCAAACATATCAGCGGGCAACTCCTTAATCTTCACAACCGAAATCCATTTGCAGCTAGCTAACGTTAGCTATAGTTAATTTACGGGTAAATGCCTTCGAAAAATCGCCCCTACTTAAACGTGTATAGTATCATCAAATAAATAATTTTACCTACCTGTATTTTCAAAGTGGATGCATCAACATGTTCACATATTTATGAGATTTAATATCTTCTCCCCTCGCTAGCTAGGGCTTGATGTTGTTGTCTCTTTAAGCCTCCCCAGCCGATAACTAAGTTAGCATTCGATAATTCAGCGTCACCTTCTTCCTCTCCCACCGGCGCTGTCCTCCCGCTTGTAAACTAGCGCACCTCGCTTGAAGAATATGACTAAATTCATACTACAGATCAAGCGACCAGGGAAATAGTCGTGCGTAGATGCCGAGTCAGTTTCCAGCTGTACAATTTACGTAAATGCAAATGCAGAGCTTTTGTGAGCTACTGGTCTGTAATTTGGGAACGCATACCAAAATCATATTCCATGATTTTTAAGAGCATTTATTTGTCTAACTTTGGTGTCTTGAGGGTGCTATATATATAACCCACTACCACTAGACTTAAAAGTAGGGGAGAGTGGGGTAAGTTGAGTAGCTTGTTTCTAGGAAAACATTAGCTCTTGAAAACCCTTCTCAGCAGTTACATTTACCCACGGTTGGCGCCATGTGAACTACAATTCCGACGCTGTGTTTTAACGTTTAGTCAATAATCATAGCTTTCAAACCGGTTTTCGAAACATATATTCCCTATTCTCTGTGTATATCAATGATGTCGCTCTTGCTGCTGGTGACTCTCAGATCCACCTCTACGCAGAGGACACCATTTTGTATACATCTGGCCCTTCATTTGACACTGTGTTAACAAACCTCAAAACGATCTTCAATGCCATACAACACTCCTTCCGTAGCCTCCAATTGCTCTTAAACGCTAGTAAAACTAAATGCATGCTCTTCAATCGAACACTGCTTGCACCCGCCCACCCGACTAGAATCACTACTCTCAGCGGGTCTGACTTAGAATATTGGACAACTACAAATACCTAGGTGTCTGGTTAGACCGTAAACTCTCCTTCCAGACTCACATTAAGCATCTCCAATCCAAAGTTAAATCTAGAATCGGCTTCTTATTTCGCAACAAAGCCTCCTTCACTCATGCTGCTAAACATACCCTCGTAAAACTGACTATCCTACCGATCCTTGATTTCGGCGATGTCATTTACAAAATAGCTTCCAACACTCTACTCAGCAAATTGGATGTAGTCTATCACAGTGCCATCTGTTTTGTCACCAAAGCCCCATATACTACCCACCATTGTGACCTGTACGCTCTCATTGGCTGGCCCTCACTACATATTCGTTGCCAAACCCACTGGCTCCAGGTAATCTATAAATCACTGCTAGGCAAATCCCTGCCTTATTTTAGCTCATTGGTCACCATAGCAACACCCACCCGTAGTATGCGCTCCAGCAGGTATATCTCACTGGTCATCCCCAAAGCCAACACCTCCTTTGGCCGCCATTCCTTCCAGTTCTCTGCTGCCAATGACTCGAACGAACTGCAAAAATCTCTGAAGCTGGAGACTCTTATCTCCTTCACTAACTTTAAGCATCAGTTGTCAGAGCAGCTTACCGATCACTGCACCTGTACACAGCCCATCTGTAATTAGCCCACCCAACTACCTCATCCCCATATTGTTATTTACATTGTTATTTATTTTGCTCATTTGCACCCCAGTATCTCTATTTGCACATCATCTTCTGCACATCTATTATTCCAGTGTTAATACTAAATTGTAATTATTTTGCACTATGGCCTATTTATTGCCTTAACTCCATAACTTACTACATTTGCACACACTGGATATAGATTTTCTATTTTTCTATTGTGTTATTGACTGTATGTTTTTGTTTATCCCATATGTAACTCTATGTTGTTGTTGTTTTTAATCGCACTGCTTTGCTTTATCTTGGCCAGGTCGCAGTTGTAAATGAGAACTTGTTCTCAACTGGCCTACCTGGTTAAATAAAGGTGAAATAAAATAAATAAACATATGCTGACAGAAATAATCTTTCAAATAAAAAATATACACTTACTGTAGCAGTTTAGCACCGATCCACAAGCTGTGTGTGCCTCCAGTTGACGAACTACACTTCCTCCCCAGTCACGCTAAAAGCAGATTTATGGTCAATCTGACTTCTTCAGTGGCTTACAGCATTTACAGCGATGCGGCCTCCTCAGAAGTCAGAACATTCAAACTTCTTGCGCTTCGGGGAGCTGTCATATGCATCCAATAAATTGGTTTGCACCACACCACTCATAGTGATTCAGGGCTAATCTCTATAGCCATCCAGCTAATTACAAGCTACTGGCTAAACGAAAAGACCTTACCTCTTCTGAGATGTTGGAGTCCGTTTCCCGGTGCATAGGAGCTCAGCCAAGATAGCATGAAATAAAGGCAGCACCATTTTCCCAAATGCATATCCATCCCGAATCTCCCCATTGCCCCCCAGCAAAATGGGTCTCTATTTAGGCTATTGTTTATACACTATGTTGAGGTAAAAATCGGAGTATAATTGTTTGTATGGATGTCAACCCCAATACATGTTCATGTCATCGTCATCAATATACTGCATTACAGTTAAAAACGACTGATTACCACCACCAATTTCTGTATGCTAACTATGCTACCAGCTTATACGAATGGGAGTTAGCATTTAACAGTCACTTTTTCTAAACCTGAAAGGGACAACTTTTAAATGTTATGCAGCAAAAACAGCCAAATATATCAAAATCGGATTTTAGTAACCACATTGTGGGCCTGTTGCAAATCAAATCGAATCAAATTTTATTTGTCACATGTGCCGACTACAACAACCTAACAGTGAAATGCTTACTTACATGCCGTTAACCAACAATGCAGTTCAAGAAATAGTAAAGAAAATATTTATTAAATAAAATAAACTAGAAAATAAAATAAAAAGTAACAATAAAATAACAATAACGAGGCTATATACAGGGGGTACTGGTACCGAGTCAATGTGCGGGGGTACAGGTCAGTCGAGGTAATTTGTACATGTAGGTAGGGGTAAAGTGACTATGCATAGATAATAAACAGAGAGTAGCAGCAGTGTAAAATCAAAGGGGGGGGGGAGCATTTGATTAATTGTTCAGCAGTCGTATGGCTTGGGGGTAGAACCTGTTAAGGAACCTTTTGGACCTAGGCGCTCTGGTACTGCTTGCTGTGCGGTAGTAGAGAGAACAGTCTATGACTTGACAATTTTTTGGGCCTTCCTCTGACACCGCCTAATATATAGGTCCTGGATGGCAGGAAGCTTGGCCCCAGTGATGTACTGGGCCGTACTCACTACCCTCTGTAGTGCCTTACGGTCGGATGCCAAGCAGTTGCCATACCAGGCGGTGATGCAACCGGTCAGGATGCTCTCGATGGTGCAGTTGTATAACTTTTTGAGGATCTGGGGACCCATGCCAAATCGTTTCAATCTCCTGAGGGGGAAAAGGTGTTGTCGTGCCCTCTTCACGACTGTCTTGGTGTGTTTGGACCGTGATAGTTCGTTGGTGATGTGGACACCAAGGAACTTGAAACTCTCAACCCGCTCCACTACAGCCCTGTCGATGTTAATGAGGGCCTGTTTGGCCCTCCTTTTCCTGTAGTCCACGATCAGCTCCTTTGTCTTGCTCACATTGAGGGAGAGGTTGTTGGCCTGGCACCACACGGCCAGGTCTCTGACCTCCTCCCTATAGGCTGTCTCATCGTTGTCGGTGATCAGGCCTACCACTGTTGTGTCGTCAGCAAACTTAATGATGGTGTTGGAGTCATGCTTGGCCACGCAGTCATGGGTGAACAGGGAGTACAGGAGGGAACGAAGCACGCACCCCTGAGGGGCCCCAGTGTTGAGGATCAGCGTGGCAGATGTGTTGTTGCCTACCCTTACCACCTGGGGGCGGCCTTTCAGGAAGTCCATGATCCAGTTGCAGAGGGAGGTGTTTAGTCCCAGGGTCCTTAGCTTAGCAATGAGCTTTGTGGGCACTATGGTGTTGAACGCTGAGCTGTAGTCAATGAACAGCATTCTCACATAGGTGTTCCTTTTGTCCAGGTGGGAAAGGGCAGTGTGGAGTGTGATAGAGATTGCATCATCTGTGGATCTGTTGGGGCGGTATGCGAATTGGAGTGGGTCTAGGGTTTCCGGGATGATGGTGTTGATGTGAGCCATGACCAGCCTTTCAAAGCACTTCATGGCTACCGACATGAGTGCTACGGGGCGGTAATCATTTAGGCAGGTTACCTTTGCTTTCTTGGGCACAGGGACTAAGGTGGTTGCTTGAAACATTTAGGGGTTACAGACTCGGTCAGGGAGAGGTTGAAAATGTCAGTGAAGACACTTGCCAGTTGGTCAGTGCATGTTTTGAGTACACGTCCTGGTAATCCGTCTGGCCCAGTGGCTTTGTGAATGTTGACCTGTTTAAAGGTCTTGCTCACATCGGCTACGGAGAGCGTGATCACACGGTCGTCCGGAACAGCTGGTGCTCTCATGCATGCTTCAGTGTTGATTGCCTCGAAGCGAGCATAAAAGGCATTCAAAGAGACCCCAACAATACATAAATCATGACGGATTTTACAAATATCCACTTTGTTAGATCAGATTTGTTGAATGTACGCCAATCCAGTGTCCTTCCATCCCCCATGGTCTGCATTCCAATGACCTCTTTACCAGATCTATCCCCATTACCTCCCCAATCTCTTTCTAGGAGTTCAAACTCATTTTTGTGTCTTAGAAATCCCTACACGAGGTATCATAAAGATGTATTTTATTTGTGAACGTGTTCTGATAGTCTTTCGTCAAAGTTCTCCATGTTTGTTGTCAAGGAAGTGAGTTTGTGTTTATACAGGATGTACCGCCCCCACCTACCGTCAA